CTCCAAAAACTTGCAGATGTCTATAATGTTTTCCCTAAGCCTTCTCTTCTCTGGGTCTCATTTCCTCCCACTAATCCTCATCTGGCAGAAGTTTGAGGCCTGTCACCATCCTTACTGCTTTAATCTGGTTGCTCTACAGCTTATCAATGTTCTTCCTAAATGTGGCCTCTAGAATTGAACACTAAACTCCAAGTAGAATCTGACCAGGAAAGAGTATAGAGGGAATATTAACTCCTTAGTCCTGAGTGTGGTGTCTCACCAAATCCAGTGGAATATCATGTTGCTGTAACATGTTGCCGTATCACTTGGTCACCATGTCACTGTCGACACACACTGAACTTAACACCCACAAAAACTCCATGATTCTTGTAAGATGCATCTATCTTAGACTTCTGAACTTGATTTTTTTTAACCCAAATAGAAGTACTTATCACTATTAAGTTCCATCTTGTTCAAATTGGTCCAATGTTCCATCCTGTCAAGATATTTTCGAATCTTGACCATCATTCCACGTATTAGCTATCCCTCTTAGCTTTGTGTCTTCTATCAATCAGAGAAGTATTCCATCCATTTCTCTAATCTACACACTTTTAAATCTGTTATATAGTGCAGGGCAAGTTCAGAATTCTGTGATAATAAACTGGTGACATCCTTCCAGGTTGACACTGACTAATCAATGACTATTCTTTGGATCTGGGTATGCAACCAATTGCAAATTTGCTTGCTCAGTTTACTTCTATATTTTCCACAAGAATAGTGTGAGAGATTTGTTCGGTGTTTCGTCAAAACCTAGGTAAATTGTAGTAGGTGTCCTTGATTTTCCAGTCTGGTAACCCTGTCAAAAAGATGAGGTAAGCATGGCATGATGGGCTTTTATGAAGTCATGCTGGCTCTTTGTGATCAGCTTTCCTTTCTAGATAGTCACTAAGTATCCCTTCAATAATATGTTCTAGAATTTTGTCAAGAACCAAAATGAGATCAACTCTATTTTCTTCCTCTTACTGAAAATCAGGACATTTGCCCTTCTGCACTCCTGCAGCACCTTTCTCATTTTTCATGATCTTTCAAAGATCACTGACCCGGGCTCAGCAAGCACCATTGTCAATTCTCTCAGTATGTAAGACATGGCTTATCTGAGCTCGGTAACTTGAATTCATCAAAAGGCATCTAAATATTCTCTTTCTATGTCCTCACTTATCCTGGATACAACTTGCTACTAGTCAATTTTTTTTAATCTTTTCTAGTACAGGGAAACAACTCCATTGAGGACAAAAAAAGGGGGGAGTTATCTAAAGATGGGGATGCACAGCAAACTAATCCATCAGCTTAGATTTTTAAAAGATGTGTACACAACATAGAAGCCAGGCCATGTAACAGGGATAAATACAAAAGCTTGCTAGAGTCCTGGAAGACCCATACCAGGAGTGTTAAGCCTCAGAATGAACTGAGGCTGGCAAGGAAAGTACAGGACAACCCCAGATAGTTTTTAGAGTTACATTGGGAAAAGGAGGAGGGTAAAAGAAGGGATGGGACCATTGCTCAGAGTGGATGGGATGACATTTCTGACATCAGGAAAAAGGCAGAGCCCTTCGATTCTTATTCAATTGCTTCTGTTTCGAACCATGGCAAGCTTTTGAGTTTATCCTCTGCCCATAATTTTAAAATTATTTTTTTTAAAAAGAAAATCTGCGATCCACATTTGTCTCTGTAAGCAACTCCGCTTTTCTTTCCCACTGGAGTTGCTTCTCCTTGTGTCTTCAGAGCTTCTCCTGGGTTGACTTGCAGTATGGATTTTAGTCCACGGGATCCTACCAAGGCTTTGTTTGTACCCCTTGAAATTTGTTCTCCCCAAAGCTGGGGTGCACGCTTGGCTTTATTTGAATAGAATATCTCCTTGTTGATACAGCTACCTTTTGAACGTAAAACAAGTCAAGAACTGATTAGCTACTCTGCTTTTAGGAGTAGGGCAAAATGAGAGGAGGGGAGACACAGTGACAGAGACAGTGAGAGAACAGGTCAGATATCCAGAACGTTGAAGTCCCTCACCACTGTTACATCACGCTTCCATGCCAGGCTTGCCATCTGTTGTCTGAACTCATCTATTTCTACTTTCTGTCCTGATTGCCTTGCACTGCATCCAATTTATTACTTCTCTTTATCCCTCAAATGATATTCACCTACATGTACTCCACCATACTTTCTCTTATTTGATTCCTAGATTTCTGGACATGAATATACTTAATCCGCAATGCAAATCCCTCTCCTTTACTGTTCCTATGTAAAAAAGAAATAAGATATACCTTTCCTGAGGGCAGTTGGGTAGGGCATTGGATAGATTGCTAGGCATGGAGTCAGGAAGACCTGAGTTCAAACCTGGCCTCAGACACTTACTAGCTGTGGCATCCTAAGCAAGTCACTTATCCCGTTTGCCTCAGTTTCCTCTTCCGTAAAATGAGCTGCAGGAGGAAATGGCAAACCACTCCATTATCATGGCCAAGAAAACCCCAAATGGGATCACAAAGTCAGACAAAACCGTAACTGCCCAGAAACAACCCTTCCTGAGTCACATTTCAGCTACAGGTCTCATTCTGCCAAGTCTCTGGGCTGAAATTTGTCTCTTTGGGTTAGGTTTTGTAATTCATCTCCCTTGTTACCTATATCTTGTATATTTGTACATATGAAGCCATAGGATTTAAATGGTTCCTTCCTTAGATGGCGTCTGAGTCAATCTGTATGATGATGAGATTTCAAGTGATAAGCTTATCCTGGGGCAGGCTTGATGTTCCTGGAGTTGAGACCAATTAGAATTATTGATGAAAGAAAAAAGAGTTTTATCTGCACTAGTGAAGTCAATAACACTTATTAAGCACCTGAGGTGTGCCAGGCACTGGGCCAAACACCAGGGACACAAAGAAAGGCAGAAGGCAGAAACAGTCCCTGGCCTCTAGGAGTTCACAGTCTAATGTGTAAGCAAAATATATACAGAATAAATTGGAGCGCATCAACAGAGGGAAAGTACTAAGGGGGGGCCAGGGACTAATTGTTATTAGAGGAGATTGTCTTTGATACAGAGAAGACAACTCCCAGTCCACAACATGTACCATGTTCTTTGGTGTTTATGCAAGTTTCACCTCATAGAGTCAACAAAGAAATAGAAAAAGCATTTTTTTTAAATTAGAAAAAAATACAGTAGATTCTTTTTGGGTCATTTTCCATTGTATTGATGTGTTTTGTTTTTACATTATATACCTGTACATATTATTTGACTTCATAAGAAGCCTTATACTAAAGTAAAGCAATTAACTAAAATTAATAACACAGGAGATAGCTCAGTAACTAGAGGACTGGACCAGGAATCAGGAAGATCTGAGTTCAAATTAAGCCCCAGACACTTCTGAGCTGTGACCCTGGGCAAGTCACTTAACCTCTGATTGCCTGACAAAATGGATCCACTGGAGAAGGAAATGATGTTTGTTAGAGTGTAATGAGTCTTAACATGATATGGAGACTGGATGTCACCTATGCAGCTCAAATTATCAAGTTATGGCTAGCATTTATATATAATGCCTTAAGATATGTCTCATTTTAGCCTCACAAGAATCCTTAGGAGTAGGTGCTATTATTAGCCCTATTTTATAGATGGGGAAACTGAGACACAGAGCAGTAGAGTGATTTCCCATGGTCATGCAGCTTGTAGATATCTGAGGTAAGATTCAAACCCAGATCTACTCCAGATCTAATGCTCTATCTAGCACTCCACCAAGTTAGTTACCTTTTCTCTCTTGGAGTCTGGGTAGAAGTACTTCTGATAGAAATTTGTTGTAAGTTTCTGTTCCATCTTTAGCAAAAAATAAATAAAATGACAAAACGATCATGTGAAATGAGCTATGAAAAGATATACAATAGTCATCGTTGGAGGGGCTGTGGGGAGCACCTGATTAGAGCTGTGAAAAAAGGTCCAGCGATTCTGGATATCAATTTAGAACTAAACAAGAAATGACACTTTGAATCACTGGTCCAGCTCTTGAGCTTATACCCCAAGAAAGTCAAGAAAGAATCAAAGGTCCAAATTGTGAGCGTATACCCCAAGAAAGTCAAAGAGAGAAGCAAAGGTCCAATTCTTGAGCTTATACCCCAAGAAAAATCAAAGAGAGAAGCAAAGGTCCAGAACTTACCAAAATATTAATAGCAGCACTCTGTGGAAACAAAGTAGGTACCCTTCCAGGGAGACATAACTGAAGAACTGGTGTATATAAGTGTAATAAAATACTATCATACGGTAAGAAGTGACAACAAATGAGAAAAGCAGAGAAATCTGGGAAGGTTCTGTATGACCTAATACAGAGTAAAATAAGCAGATTAAAGGGAACATAAATATAATGACAAGAAGAGTGTAAATGTAAAGCACTCCAAGGCAAAGCCAAACTCTGAGCAACTGAAAAAATGAGTCAAGGTGCTAGAGAACAGAAGGTCTTGGTTGGAGGGGAGAAGGGGTTTTACTGTTATAAACCTTTGTACATATTAGCAACTAGGTGGTGCAGTGGGTAAGAGCATTGGGCTTGGAGTCTGGAAGACTTGAGTTCAAAGGTGGCATCAGACATTTACAAGCTGTGTGACCTTGGGCAAGTCACTTAACCTCTTACCTTGCCTCAGTTTTCTCACAGGTAAAAAAAGGATCATAATAGCACTTACTTCACAAGCTTGAATGAGGTAATGTATAACGCTTTATAAACACTATATAAAAACCAGTTATTATTATTGTCAGATGAAGTTCCATTTGTTTTTTCTTTGTCACAAAGGAAAGTTCAGTCTGGTAAAGGGGGGGGGTTGTTGAACTAAGTGAAGTTATTTAAATGGCATCAGTAAAATTTATTTTTTAGGAAAGAATAGGCAGTATGAAGTAGCACTGCTAAAGCTTAGGAAGTTTTCCCATTTTGCCTGTTTCACATGAGAGGTTTTTAGATTCTGCTTTTCAAAATGTCTTTTGTTTTCCTGTCTAGATATTCTATGCAGTTCATGCATTTCAAGCCCGAAGCGAACATGAGCTCAGCCTCCAGGAATACCAGCGGGTTCATATTCTCCGATTTTGTGATCTGAGTGGCAATAAGGAGTGGTGGCTAGCCGAAGCTCAAGGACAGAAGGGATATGTGCCCGCCAACTACCTGGGAAAGATGACATATGCTTAAAAAGACAAGCTCCTGGAAAACTGCTTTAGTTTTCTGTCAATTCAAATGATCAACTAGCTACCTCTTACATATTGGACATGAAGTTACCTGGCCAGGAAGGTACATCAAACACCAAAGAAATAATCACCCAGCTACCAAGACTGGTGCCTTGCCAGTTACTAAGGAGGTACTGGCAAGATTGGCTCATAAGTGCGTCTGGAAGTGTATCTGTGTTAAAGTAAATTCTAAACCAAAATTTAATGGAAAAAATTAATGGACCCACCAACTCTTTGTATTATTCTTCAGGAACTTTTTTTTTTTTAACCAAACAGACTTCATAAGAAAAATCTTAAGAAAGGATCAATATGTCCTATTGCAATTTTGAAAGGCTGAATCTACATGAAGTAAATTTTTCCCCAAACTGATTTATTTCTAGATTTCTAGCTGTAAAAGAGCCTGGAGAGCACATAGTCCAATCTGCCTCATTTGACAGATGAGAAAACTGAGACCCAGAGAAGGGAAGTAATTTGTTCAAGATCATAGATGTTTGAAACTCCAGTCAAGTTTTGAGACCTGGTGCACTGCACCATATTGTTTATTAAACCTAAAACATGTTTATCTCCACAGGGTTATTGGTCATAGTCAGGGCATTAAAAAAAATGAAGGTAAAATAGACCTGTCAACAGTCAATGAAACATCCTCAGCGTAAAAGCTTTGGAGGAAAAGGATGAAACATTAAAATACTGCTGCCCATACAAAGCAAATGTAGTCAAAGGATGCTTGATGTCTTGTGAATTACCATACCTAATGAAAAAGAACCAACATTTACTCTAAATCTCTTTTTTCAGTATGTATGTGTACAATTATATGGACACACACATACACACATATATATTACATATATACATATATATATATTACATATATACATATATACATATATATATTACATATATACATATATACATATATATATATATATATATGTACACACACACACACTTTTGTTTTTCAAAATAAAATACTATCAGGACCCAACCTTTCATAATATTAACTGAAAGTAGTAGTTCTTAAGCTGGTTTAATTGAACATTTTTTTCTAATTACTTTGTAAAAGCATTTTCATCATATTCTTTCCTATAACTATTTAGAACATGATGGCTTTAAAACTTTAAACTTAACTGATGAAGCCTCAGTGAAAAACACTAGAGAATTTGGAAAAAACTTAAATGAACAAGAAAACAAAATTGGCATTAACCGGTCTGAACAAAGCCTTATATATCATTATTTGCCCATTTGTTCTTGTACATAGTTGGTTTTGTGGATTGTTTTTACTGTAAACAACATGCTTGGTCATTGTATCTTAGCCAGTACAGTTGAAAGAACATTAGCTCTGGCATTAGAGGAGGGGGGTTCAAATATTACCTCTCTAGCTTACTTACTACCTGTATGACCTTGGGGTAGTCACTTAATTTTCCTAGGCCTCAGTTTCCTCATGTATAAAATGAAGAGGTTGGTCTAAATAGGCTCAGATCACTTCCAACTCTAGGTTTATAATCATATGATAAATAAGTCTGTTTCTTGGGATTTCATTCCTATTTGACCAAGGTATTTCATAGAAGTACTAACACAGGCTTTTGGAAAATAGACGATTTTGAAATCAATTTAAATCTGGCCACTTATTTGATGCTTTTATTTGACATACAATAAGAAGTTTCATTGGCACCAAAAATTTACTAACTGAATGTTAATTTTCAAGATTTGGATGATGCTAGCTCAAGAATTTTTAGTGAGATTCACTGGGACTACAAAATCTACCTTATCACACATATACTTACATGTTTCGAGGGTCTCTAATTTTGTCAACATGGGTCCTCATTCCATTGACTCAAAATGGACCTCTGAGAGCAGCTGTGATAGTAAAATTCATCTTCCTGCAACCAGCCCGGCCCTGGGTCTTTCTGAGCTGAGTTACATTGGCCTCCAGATGACAAATGCATCTGGAGTTTTTCAAGCTTGGTAGGACTTGATCGAACTTATGCTCTATTAGCGTGGCCTTTGAGAAGCCTGGGTCACATTCATGACACAATAAGGCATCAGGGGCTAATTTTGGTTGAGGTGCAAATGTAAATATCCACAAAGCAAAATGAAAAAAATGCTGTTATTCCAAGATTAGTTGTAACCACAGTTAGTTATCATGAAAATCCTGGAATTTCTTGGTGTTCACTGAACATCTCAATCTAATGTTTATATTCATACAATTTTAGAGGGTTGTATTATTAGAATATTTAGCTATTTACTTGAGGTCACTTGTATATTATATAATAGTGTCTATTTTTTTTTAAATTGAGATTAGGTACCAAAAAGAGATAGTCTTCTTGAAGTGAAAGTAAGCCTTTTGCACTACCACATGATTGAATAAATGATTTTCCTTGACTTTGAAGGTTATATAAATTCAGGAATGCGTAAGAAAAAAGGTATGGTGAACATTTCAGTGATTGCCATTTCATTCTAACTTGGGGTGCAGCATGGTGCTGTGGGGAAAGTGCTGAACTTGGAGGCAGATGACCTGAGTTCCAAATCCCACTTCTGCCACTCAATAATAATTGTGTGACATTGCGCAAATCGCTTAACCTCTTTGGGCCTCAGTTTCCTCATCTGTAAAGGGAGGGAACTGGATTAGATGGTATCTGGGGTCCCTTTGAGCTCCAGAGCTATGATCCTAATACCCAAGCAAATCCTGAAGATATTCACCTATATACGTGTAAATGTATATAAATATACATATATACTTATATATACACATACATACATACATATATATGTTGTGTGTATGTTTGTAAGATATGAGTTTCCTTATGTTCTATCCCTTTAAAAATGAGTTGTGAATTTAGACCTACAAATGAATGAATTGTGTGAGGAGCAGCATTTTTACAATTGGAATAAGAAAATAGCTTTGCCTATTCACGTGGTCCAAGGATTGAAGCTTATTGCAGACCCTGGGAGGTCCCACAGGTAAAGTGTCCAAGTGGTAGAGTATGGCTGATCAAATACTTGAATGAAGCCACGGATGTAACGTTTTCCACTGTCCTCACCAGCACATACATTTATTAAAGCATTGATAGAATCCTAGCATGCTAGGATTAGAAGTCATCTGATTCAACTCTTACTTGAAGCATGAATCCTTGATATAAACAAAAACAAGACAAGTTTTTACAAGATTTGGATTTCAATAGCTAACTAGTTTTAGTTGTATTTCAAAGAATATCCTAATTTTCTCTTCATAGTCTTAAAAGTCAATCAATCAACCAGCAAATAAGGCAGCTAGGTGGAGCCATAATGCACAGAACACTGGGCCTGGGGTCAGAAAGTCCTGAGTTCAAATTCGACCTCAGACACTTACTAGCAGCGTGATTCTGGGCAAATCACTTAACCTCTGTTTGCCTCAGTTTCCTCATCTGTAAAATGGGGATAAATAGGCATCTACCTCCCAGGGTTGTTGTGAGGGTCTGGCACATTAGCTCACATGTTAGCTTACATGCTAATAAATTTGAGGCACTATGCTAGGGAGACAGAAAAATAAAATGGAAACAGTTCCTGCCATCAAAGAGCTCACATTCATATAGGGGAGATAATAGTCATCTATATAGATGTGTAGAAAACGTACATAAAAACGGATGCAAGGTAATCAGAGGTGATAGGAGGGAAGTAGGGGGGTGGTCCTTCTACTTTTGATTTTAATCTATGCCAGTCATTGGTTTGCTTGACTGATAAGGGAAAAAGCTCCTTTGATGTTTTTAAGGTACACAGATATTTTTCTAAATAAAGCTCCATGAAGCTTAAAACTGTAACTGACAACATTTAGGAAAAGACATATAATCCTAATATGAAGGTTTATGTTCCTTTTTTTTAAACTTTGTAATAAACATCTCCTTTAAATGACTTCAATGTTTGAGAAAGGATCCTCTAAAATTGATGTTACACAATTCTTTTTCATAACAAATAAGCAAAGAAGTAATGCAATCTATTCAAAGTTAATATTTAGTATTATCATGGTAAAATTACAAACTTGCAAATTAAAAGAGCATATATGTTTCAAATTAAATTTCCACAATTAACATTCTCAACAAATGGAAATTATGCCAGTAATGAAAAAACTTTTTTTTAATTCACTTGCATGAGGGTTTAAAAAATTAAACAGAATGTCTTTTATTTGGAGAGGATGTCAATCTTATCTTCTAATTCAAAAACTGTTCCATGATGACTGAACTGTGTAGAAATGATATAACAGTCCCTGTTAAGTACAGTGATGGAGGCTGGCATGAAATATTTGAATGTCCTTATAACATGTATCCTACCCAAATAAAATCTTTTAGCCTTTTAGAAATCAACAGCACATACCTGTACAAAATTATAACGAACATAAAATTCTGGGAATTTACAAAAGTTAATGTTAGATGGTAGAAGTTTTTAAGAGTAACATTTTCTTGAGTTAAAGTATATATTTAAAGCAAGTTATGGCTGAGATAAAGATTAATTTCTAAGGCAACAATGGCCAGGAAGCATTAAATACTTAAATCTTCTTTGTTAAAATTAGTTATGGATTGCTCTGTAGTAGGCAAAAATACAGTCCTGGTATCCTCATGAGGTACAATTAGGTTTGTAGTAATTAATCCACCAAACATCTATTAAGCATCTACTGTGTTCTAGACACTGAGCTCAGCACTGAGGAATACAAAGACAAAGACAAAAACAGAAGTTATACAATCTTATACACATGGGGACATTGAGTTTCTTTATTTTGGATCCCTTTTAAAAAATTAGATGAGTTCAGAACTCAAAATAACGAAATGCTGTGTGGGAAGTAGTGTATTCCTGCTGTTGTCTGGAATAAGTAAATAGCTTTCATGTACTTAATAGGCTTTCTCCGACTTATTTGCTCACTGGAGCCTAGGCCTGATGTTTTTTGCTGACCATTGGAGAATAAAAACCATGCCTGCACTAAAGAAGTTTACACTTTACCAAATAATAGCAGATGAGATGATTCTATCTCAGGGACAGACTGCCCTCTTAACTTTGGACTGTCTTGTGATACTACATC